GACAAGATTGTTTAGAGTGACAGATTTTCTTGTGTGATTTTTGTAAGTTGTGTTTTGCAAGTAATCAATTTGATCTATATTTTAAAATGTATTTTGAAATATTTTGAAATGTAAACATAGTCATTTGTTTCAATACTGTTAAAATCAGATGATTTCTGGGTCTATGTTACAATGTTTCAAAAAATTTACTTTTCCATGGGTTAATTAGTCTTTCAAAAATGTCAAATGGTATCAATTTATTAATTTCTCTCCTTAACTAGCTATATTGCCACATCCTACTTAGGTCCATGTATAACATACATAAATCTCTATGTTAGAAATAAGTAGTTCTTTTTCCTTCTTTATATAAACAGTAGCACAGTTGTAAACTCTTGTAAATGCAGATTACTGTGTTGTTTCTTTGTTAATAACTAGAGGTGATGTTTGCACACAGGAACCTTGAGAAGTTCTTACTTTCCTCAAAGTTGTATTGCCCTGCACTGTGTGATGTACTGTTTCATTCAAACAATACCATATTGCTAAGTGTGAATGTTTTGCCTAGTCCTTCAAATGATAAATAATAACAAAATATGTACTTTGGACATATGTCAATTTTTCCATATATGCATACAGCATTCATTTCACACACACAAAATAATGGAGTCGAAGGATACATGCATTCCTAATTTTATTACAATGTTGACTACAATGATTGCCAGGTCCACTAGCAACATATGTAAGACTTGTACTCTAGAATCAAGTGCTGTTAAAGTTTAAATTTTGCCGGATAATTAAGTAAGATAAGCTATTTAGTCAGATAATTCTCCAGTATAAAGAAAGGTTATTTAATCAGTTAATTCTCAGGTATAAAGAAACTTCAGTAGACAGGCAAATGTATTTCCAGAAGAGTAGAGGAAACCCGTCTCCCTCCTCCAACACCATCAATTTTCCCCTCAAAGTTGTCTTCCTGAAATGTCTCTTCACTTGGGATCCAGACCAGTATATACTGCAGGTGGACCTCAGTTAGAGAACTAATCATTATATAAGGAGTTCTTTCTTATTTAAAGGACTCTGATTATATTGTGGGCAAGAAAGGGTCCCACTAGAAAACATATTTTTCAGGCAACTTAGAATGCAGGGGTAACTAGGAAAGATGCTTTTGCCAATAAAAATGAAGTATCTGGAAGAAATGCCTAACGAAGTTTGTTTTTCTCATATAGCAATTTATCTGGTCTGCTTGCCACACTCCTCTTCTCTACTGAGAAGTCTCTAAAAGTAAACACATATTTATGCTGACGCGAGGTCAACAGGCTCATGGAAACTTCTGGGAAAAGGAAACCTGTCTTTCCAGTTTTTTTTTTTAAAGCCCTGAACCAGACTGCCTAGTACAGTATTAACAAGTAGAGTTGTAAATAAACAAACACATAAATTCAATGTTTGATTTACACGAGACTGTACTCTGTAGAACTTCATACAAAGCAAACTACCTCTCATTGTTGTATTCTGAAACACATTGTCGTGTTTGAACTGAGTCCTGACTTCCCGCAAACTCAATCACTCAGGACAACAGGGTTGCTAAGGTAGACTCCTTCCTGGGAGTTCAGAACTATTCTGATGATGAAATTTGGTTCCAGGACACTCTTTACTCAACTCTGCTTTGTCTCTGTGGTTGCCCCGGAGGTCTCCACCGAAATGTGTCTCTCTCTCGCTTTGATTCAGGGTCACAATTACCTTATGATCTGATGACTCTCTTCAACCTCCTAGCTTCCGCCTCACTTTCATGTACAGGCCTTTGCCATATTGAATTAGTTTCCCATCTAATTTTGTATTGGTGTTTGCTTCTCAAAGAAACCAGGGCCACACACAATGTGTATAAAGCACTACTGCTATATGCTGATACCTGCTTGGAAAGAATGATCACTACATACAAGACTTTTAGTTGCTGGAGGAATGAATGTAGGATGGAGTTTCCCCACATGTAAGGAAGCATGACACACTTTTTCTTCTTCTTTTTGTCTTTTAAAAAATGTCATCAGTATTATTGGCATACAATTCACATATCATACAAGTCAACAGTTTAAACATATTAAAATGAGTTGTGCAACCATCACTACAATCAGTTTTAGAATATTTTTTCATTCTTTTTTTAAAAATCATTTTATTGGGGCTCATACAGTTCATCACAATCCATACATACATCAATTGTGTAAAGCACACTTACACATTCGCCACCCTCATCATTCTCAAAATTCGCTTACCGCTTGGGTTCCTGAAATTAGCTCCTCATTTTCCTTTCCCCCTCCCGCTCCCTCCCCACTCCCCCTCCCTCATGAACCCTTAATAATTTATAAATTATTATTATATCTTATTATTTTCTTCTTTCTTAGACTCATTATTATTAGCTCCCATTTTCCCCTAAACTCCGATGCCATATCCCCAAGAAACTATTAATCCAGTTATTATCGCGATGGATTTACCTATCCTAGATCCCATACAAAGAAAACCATACACAACCAAACATTTATCAAACGCAAAACAAAATAGCAAAGAAAGACTCAATTGAAAAGAAAGCAGAAAATAATACAAATGGGAACCAAATTTAAATGTGTCAAAAGGGAGAACAAGTGATAAGGTGTTAAATTGTAGCTTAATTGCATCTACATTTGTCACTTTCCAATGCACTTTATCTGATAGCAAGGCGATTCACATCCTTGTGAACGGTGCGGAAATTCGCCAGAGGATTAATTCATGTGGGGATCCTGAAAATGAATCTTGGGCTTGTATTGTCACCCATAGATTTCTGCAAAGTAGGTGCTCAGAATTTAAACTCTAATACCGTTCCCACTTCTCATCTTGGATTTTATTACCATATATACTCATGTATAAACCAAATTTTTCAGCACATTTTTTAATGCCGTTTTTGTGGTAACATTAGGTGCTTCAGCTGATATTCGAATCGGCTTATAGTTAAGTCTATACATTATTTACCATCCTTGGCTAACACAGGCTTGTGTGCTCCTTCTGCTTGGACTTCGTTGAAAACCTCACTTAGACGGCTGCTTGAAGACAAACCCGTAAGACCCCAGATGCTATTCTTTCTGATAGACAGGCCCCATCTGAGTGCTTCACCACCCGAGCAATGAACAAGGTGCTTCACTGAGTGCTTCACTTACCAGCAATGAACAAGGTGGACATTCCTGCCAATTAACATGAAAGGGCTGAGACTGGCATACCCAAGTGTTAAGAATATTTTTATATTAAATATTGTGAGCTCGTTGGTCAAGAAGGAGCCTATGTAGAAGGAGAAAATGAAATCTGCCCAATAAAAGAAAAGGAAACAGGCCATGAGAAGGAGAATACTTTGTGTAGCTCTGATCTCTGGGCTGGTGGTTTTCTTTTTTTTGTGAACCTGGAACTCCGTAGGTAGAGGACACACTTGTGATGGACATACAAGTGAGAAGCCATGCAACCACTGTTCCAACCCATCAGGCCCTGAAACATGAGATCCCTCACAGCCATGAGAGTAAGGAAGAGCCACCGGACTATTGGCTCGGCTGGCTGCATATAGCAATATTTAACATAATATGTCACTGCAGATCTGTTCATGCTGTTGACTGATGTGATGTAGTACAGCAAGTTAGAGCCTATCAGGATATTAAAGACCCAGAAGCAGAGGAGACAGTGCAAAAGTTGCCGTGCAGTCTGAGGTTTGAACTTGGTCCATGTGGTGGCCTTGGAACTGATGGTGGTGGCCTGGACCACACTGAGGAGACAGGTGGTACAGATCGAAAGACCTCGTGCCACCCTCTCAAGGTAAATCACCGCTTTACAACCAACATTACTTAGGAAGTTACTTAAGTGAAAAGCCGATATTACATCAGAAACGCCTTTAGCACAAAGGCTCATTGCGTTAGTGAAAGCCAGATGCATGAGAATAAGGTCTATGTTTCGTTTCTCAGGACCTCGAACAAACATATACACGTGTCCTACAAACATCAGGACGTTCCCTCCAATTCCAGGTCCAATGAGCGAAAGAGAGAGAATTCCTTGGATGAAGTCACTCCAAACCATCCTGTTCCTTTATGAACAGAAACAGGAAAAAACTTTTTGAGAAACACAAAAAAACAAGAATGTCACATTTCAGTCTCTGGCTTCTTTCTGGTTTACCAAAGTAAGCAGAACTTCAAGAACACTAAATGATACAATTCTTCATGGTCATTTATTTAATCTCTGGGACTTCTTGGTGTGTTCTATTAGTTTTTGATGACTTGATATGACTCTAAAATCTTTACATGCAGCCCATTCCACATCTACAGCATACAAAGATGTTATAACATGTTCCCTGAAAATCTTGCTTTCTTTCTATGGTTTCTAATACATAATCAATTCCTACTCTGCAATGTTAATCATAATTTGATGCCTCCCTCTCTTCAAACATCAAACTAGTTCTCCACGGTCATGGCTATATCATGGAAGATGCCCTGCCAACCTCCCGCTAAGAGCTTTTGTCTAGAAACAGTTCACAGTTAACACACACACACACACACACACACACACACAAAACACCTCTGGAAAACCTTGCTGGTGTAAATGTCTTGTGAGTTTTATCTATTTGAAGGTGCCACATCTTAGCATTTTCTCAATCAGAAACGCTACTCTGATATCTCAAAATTCTGATTGGCACAGTTTTTTTTCTCACTCATCACTCCTCAAGGTTTTACCCAATCCATTTGTGTCAGACTTAGATTTCAAAACAGAAACTTGTTTATTTGAATTCACATCTTACACACTTTACATTCATCCAACCACGTTTATCTGTGAAAAGCTGACATCTTTGGCTCCTTCTAATACTGATGGTGAGTTATTAAAGTACATTCAACTCCCCAAACAAAGAAAACCTACCCAGTTTTCTCACCCACAGCTCAGACTTCTTTTGAACAACAACAACAACAACAACAACAACAACAACAACAAAATTCCACTGATCTCACGACTATGTTGCTTATTTCTCTCTTTTCTTCCTCTAAACCACTGTGTGAGATACTTCAGAGACTCACACTTCCTATGTGAGATTTAAGTACCTGGCTCTATGCCTGTGAAATATTGCTCAACATAAGGTTTATAAATAAGTAATCAAGCGAGGGATGAGATTGTGTTAGTAAAGTGCACATTGGTGAAAGAGATCGTGTTATGGGCCAATTAGGAGGGGTATTCGAGGAAATGCCTTCCCCCTATGAATGTCACGGTTGCATGATCCAGAACTTCACTCTCACCTCAAAGACATAGAAAGATTTGAACTCCAAGGCCACCCTTAATGTGAAAAGCTCCAGTGAAGTCACATGAACTGTCTTTCAAGGCACATAAACGGACAAATGTATACATACTTTGCCCTTATGTCTGACCAAGTGGCTGTTATTTTACAGATGCAGCATTCTGAGACACCAGTCCTCGTTTCTAAAATGAGAATTCGCGTGGCTGTACTGGAGCTCTGAATCATGGTTTCTTCAGTGTATGCAGAAGACGATGACCAATGGACTGTGCGGGAGATGCACACACTTAGAGCTCCCCGGTGGTGGGAGTTGAAGAATGGTTAAAACCTGACCAAATCCATTGCCTCTGAGTCGATTTCAACTCATAGAAACTCATAAACCAGCCCTAAACTCACTGCCATCAAATGGATCCCCAGGAAGAACAGCCGCTGTGAGTTTTGGAGACTACAGTGAACCCTCGCCACTTCGCGCTTCGACTTCCGCGGCTTCACTCTATCGCGGTTTTTGCGTGACAGCGCCATTGGTTGGCTCATACTGGCTCATACTGGCTCATACTGTACACGCTTGATGCCATAAATAATATAATGAATAATAAATGATAATTGTAACGTCCAAAATGTTTTACTGTATTTTCCCTTTTTCGTTTAATAAATTGGGTAACACGAGTGTAATGGTGACTAAAGGGGTTTTTTCATGTCCTCTATGCTCTAACTACGAAAATATTTGATTTACAAATAAGGAATCCTACTTCGCGGAATTTCATTTATCACGGTAGGGTCTAGAACCGATTAACCGCGATAAACGAGGGTTCACTGTATAGCTACGGGAGTAGAAAAGCTCTTTTTTACTCCCCTCTGGCAGAGGGCCGTGATACTGCTAACCTCGCAATTAGCATCCCAAAACAAAAGCCACTACCCTGTTTCCCAAAAGTAAGACATCCCCCGAAAATAAGACCTACTTACAGTTTCTCTCTCGCTGAAATATAAGGCATTCCCCTGAAAATAAGACCCCCCCGAAAATAAGCCCCTCCCGAAGCTACCATAACTCTGGACTCTGGACTGTAGAGGCAGGCACCACTGCACAGCTCACCGTTGGCCACAGCACAGCCGGAGAAGCCAGGAAGTATGAGGTCTCTTTTAATAAAACAAGAAACAATAAATGTGTACTATATTATTCTTCATGGAAAAATAAGACATCCCCTGAAAATAAGACCCAGCGCATCTTTGGGAGCAAAAATTAATATGTCTTATTTTGGGGGAAACAGGGTATATTTACTAGAAACCTCTTTTAAGGCATTTACTCCCAGTGGAGAAGGAGAAACGAGGTAATTGCTGCAAATCAAACACGTTAGGGTTTCTGTGTTGTGTGATAGGGTGTTTCTGCCTACGGGCCAGCATAACAAACTCAGCACTTAATGCCATCGGGTCTATTCCAACTCATAGCGACCTATCTCTGTTTCTTAGGTGCTGGATCGAAGGCCCTCTCTTTAGGAAATAGGACAGAGAACCATCCATCCTTCAGCCCTATCCCATGACAAGGACGTGGAGCTCAGAGCACACATAGCTCATCTCCAATAATGACTCCCCGCACTGCTCTGCTCTGCTCTAATGTCTACTCTCTTGGAAACGGAAAAACCTTCAGTTAGGTTATGCCCTCCCAGGGGAGTAATCCAAGAATGTAAAACCTGATCTGTCCAAGACATCTGTCCAAGAGGATTCACGGACAAGCACATGCTGTCTCCTGAGACCTCAACCAGAACTTCAAGTGTGAGCCCCTGTGACATGTGGCCGTGCCACCGGGCTCTACAGTAACTAAATCACCAGCGGCAGTACAGGGAACTATATTAGAGCTTATGTTCTAAGCACTTGGTTGTTGGAAGTCTAGTTGTACAGTGGGAGTGCGCTCCAATTCACGTCTTAACATAAAATCAGCCTCCATGGAGTTCTCTTTTATCATTAGCTAGGCAATGTTAAAAGCTTTGCCCCTATGCAGAGTGAGTTTGAAAGTGGATTACTATGCAGCCTTTGAGAGGGAAGGGAGGTACGATCTCCCTCTCAGAATCTTAAAAAAAAAAATCATTTTATTGGGGGCTCTTATGGTTCATCACAATCCATATATACATCCATTGTGTCGAGCACATTTGTACATTTGTTGACATGATCATTTCAAGACATTTTCTTTCTACTTGAGCCCTTGGTATCAGCTCCTCATTTCTCCCCCTCCATTCTCCACCCTCCTCCCCTCCCTCATGAACCATTGATAATTTATAATTATTTTTTCATACCTTACACTGACCGATGTCTCCCTTCACCCACTTTTCTGCTGTCCTGAGAGCGGGTTATATATAGATCATTGTCATTGGTTCCCCCTATCTCCCCCCCACCTTCCCCTTCCCCTCCTGGTATCGCCACTCTCATTATTGGTCCTGCCCTCTCAGAAAGTTGACTGAAAATTGGGGTCCTAGAACCTCTTGGTTATGATTCATGCTCCTACCATGATGAACATGGGGACCTAGCATCAACCGTGTAAATTTTTCTAACCTGTGATAGTGTACATATCCCAATCATGGTCCATTTCTCCCCTCTGTAGCCTACCTATGACTGTAATGAATTGATCAGCCATCAATCAGGATATTGTGATGAATTTAAAGTTTTCCTACCATTCTATAATTAGCATCATAGTCAGGTGTCATTTGTACTTTGTTCTGGGTGTGACTTAGTAACTGGGTCTCTGTAAATATATATTTGAATTTGGGACTTTGTTTCCACTAGATAACAGCTAAGTGTTAAGTGGAAACAGGCCCATTGTACTAAAGAAACAGAAAAGATAAATACATTAATCCCGTGTTTAAATGGTGATTAGAAGTTATTATACACACACACACACACACACACACACACACACACACATATTATTCTGGTTCATGCATGTCCATGTGGTGTTATGCTTACTTAAAATCTAGGATATAAATATATACATTAGAAGTTATCATATAGATGAGGGGGTACCCCCCCAAAATCATAAAAAGCTCCATTCAATGGAGCCTTTGTAGTACACATTTTTCCCAGTAGGCTAGCATTGAGCAACTCACTCTGAGTTTGTGCACCCAGTGGCATCACCTGGAAAGGTTCTTTCCGGTCACAGTGAATTTTTTTGGTAAAAGCAGTTTCAATTGAACCTCATTTTTTGTGATGGTGGATTTAAGACAACAGATTGTGGCTGTGAAATTTTGTTTCTTGCTCAGAAAAAGTGCCACAGAAATGGTTGTGATGCTTAACACAGCTTACAAGGACAGTGCTATGGGAAAAACTCAAGGGTAAGAGTGGTTTTCTTGTTTCAAAAAAGGTGAAATGTTGATTGATGACAAACCTCATTCTGGACATCCGTCAACTTCCTGAACGGACAAAAATATAACAAAAATTGTGTACTTGTGCTTGAAGACCAATGACTGAGGAATTGGTAAGTTATCTGGACTATCTTGGAGCTCAGTTCAGCAAATTTTAACAGAAGACTTGGAAATGAGAAGGGTCACTGTGAAATTTGTATCTCAGGTTCTGACTGGCCAGAAAAAAGAGCGTTGAGTGAAAACATGCTGCGCTCTGAAAGAACAACGCTGAAGAGACACAGACTTTTCCCCCCAACGTCATTACTGGTGATGAGACATGGTGCTATTCCTACAACCCCGGATGCACACATCAATCAAGATGGTAGAAGACCCTATCATCACCTGGCCCCTCAAAAGCTTGTTAAGTGAAATGAAAAATCAAGTCAAAGCTCATTTGTTTGTTTGTTTTTATGTGA